GGCCTTGAATGAAACAAGTTTTTCTACACTTTTAAAAAACGTGGTTCTTTAATAAAGACATTGGTTCTGTGTAGAACCGTAAACATGCAAATAATCATTTCATGCTTAAACGTTTCTCTGCATGGCGAAATGTTTCTCCAGATTGATGGAGATTGTATCATGTATCGTATATGTTGTATATGTTGAAGGATGGATTGATGGAGAACATGTTGTGTATTCTATATAGAACATTTTTGAAAATGGTTCTATATAGCACCAAAAAGGTTTATTGTAACACTGCAAGCTTGAAACCAATAGAAGAACCCGTTTTGGTGCTATAAAGAACCATATACAATACATTTTTCGTCAATCTGAAGAACGAAATGGTCTTTTGAGTGTTTATTGTTCTGTATAGTGTCACTGTCTTTGCTAAAGAACCTTTATTGAACCATCTTTTTTGAGATTATAGATTCTATGGAGTTTTAAAGCACTCCAGTGATCCAGAACGATCACAGCACAGAGGGCTGACTGGGTGGCGAGTGTGTTTAAGAGCTCTTTAGAGCAGAATGCAGAACCCTAATGTTGTGAAAAGGAAAACGTCGTCGGTGCTGCATAATTCAGCACAATCCTCCAAAAACAACAGGATGCATTATCTGAAGCGTCCCGGGGCCGTCGCCACCGTCAGAGGAGGCTTTCCTCATTAAAATTCATCTACAGCCCAATGAGGACGATGATTTGTTGCCCTGAAACACAGTTTCATCACTGCAAACAAAGAATATCTTGACAAGAAATCGTCCCAGATCTCCTCACAGTGTCTAATATTTCTCGTTATGATGTTGCTGAGAGAACATTTATTATTTAATTAAACATATTCCATAATTACAGACACTTTCACCAGATAAAAACAAAAAAGACCTCCTAAAAAATACAGAAATGGGTTAAATATTCTTACAATATTCTTTCAGAAAGTCTCAAAATGATAAAAACTCAATATTTCAACATTAAATAATATAATCCAGCGATTCTATTGGAAGATATCAAGCATTATTTCCCAAAGCAATATTATGATAAGGCAGTTTCTAGATAAAATTGCTCAAAACAAGCAAAAAAATATCTGCCAACTAGTTACAATATTAAAAAAATGGGTATATTAACTAGATTCATACCCCAATGAAACACTGGAGCGTGCACAGACTCTAAATAAAAAAATAAATAAACAAATAAATAAATAAAGACAGTAAAATACAGAGTTAGCGTTTGGCCCAAATGTGGCAAACAGATGAGCTGAGCTCAGTTTGAGGGCCTGATTTCTTTAACTGGAAAGTGTTTTCAATGACACTCCAGGGTGAGGACTCACAAACACTATTCCCTTCCCATCATGCCCTGGGGTGCATGTTAGCATCATGTTAAGTGAGTGTTAGCATCTCGTTAGGATCAGTCAGAAGCTCCACTCAGCTGTACGTGAGCGCTGACCGAGCGGCCTCTGTTCCTCTGAAGGTCTCAGCTTCACCTTCAAGCCTCAAACACTGATGATCAGAATCAGTGATGGAGAATCAGGACAGTGTGGACTTTACTCAGGTCTGATTACGGAAAATGAGGCGTCTTTATCAGCGCTGTTCACACTGAAGTGCGATTCATTCAAACTTCATATTTACGGTTTCTCTTCGTATGTAAATACTGTGTAATCGGCAACAAGTAATCATTTTTTTTTTATTTGTTTTTGATGTTTCTTTAGTAAAAAACAAATATTTAAAACCCAAAGACTGATATTGTACCAATTTTATCATCTTCCTTTATGGCCACATTTCATTCTGCGACTATTTCTGCTCACAAATTCAGTCACAGAAAATTAGGTCAGAAAGTTCAGAGTGACCTATTAGAGTCAAAACAAGGACATTCAGAGAGAGAGAAAAGAGATAGAGATGGGGAGAGAGAAAGAGAGAGGGAGAGATGGGGGAGAGAGAGAGAGAGGGAGGAATAGGGAGAGATGGGGAGAGGGAGAGAGAGGAAGAAGGGAGAAAGAGGGTGAGAGAGACAGAAGCAAGAAAGATAGAGAGGGAGAGAGAGGAAGTGGGGAGAAAAAAGATGGGGAGAGAGAACGAGAAAAGGAGGAATAGACAGAGAGGGAAGGCGAGAGAGAGAGGAAGAAGAACAAGAGGGGGAGAAAGAGAGGAAAGAGAGCGAAAACAAGAAAGAAAGAGAGACAGAGAGAGGGTGAGAGAGAGACAGAAGAGAGAAAGATAGAGAGGGAGAGAAGAAAAGGGAAAGAAAGGAAGAAGAAAATGCGGGGAGAAAAAAGAAAGTGGAAGAACAAAAGATGGGGAGGAATAGACAGAGAGGGAAAACAAGAAAGAGAGAGAGAGGAAGAAGAACAAGAGAGGAGAGAGGGCGATGGAAGAAAGAGAGAAAACAAGAAAGAGAGAGAGAATGAGAGAGAGAGGGCGAGAGAGAGACAAGAGAGAAAGATAGAGAGGGAAAGAAGAAGAGGGAGAGATAGAGATAGAAGAAAGAGAGAGGAAGAAGAAAAAGTGGGGAGAAAAAAGAAAGAGGAAGAACAAGAGATGGGGAGAGGGAACGAGAAATTAGGAATAGACAGAGACGGAAAGCAAGAGAGAGAGAGGAAGAAGAACAAGAGAGAGAGAGATGGAAGATAGAGAAAACAAGAAAGAGAGAGAGAGGAAGAACAAAATAATAAGAGAGGAGAGAGAGAAAGAGGGAAAGAGAAAGGGAGGAACAGAGAGGGAAAGCAATAGAGAAATCAAAGAGAGGAGAAGAACAAGAGGGGAGAAAGAGAAGAAAGAGAAAAAACAAGAGAGAGAAAGATAGAGAGGGAGAGAAGAAGAGGGAGAGATAGAAGAATGAGAGAGAGGAGTGAAGAGGAAAGGAGAAAAGGAAAGAAAGAGTGAATGAGAGATATAAAGGAAGAAAGAGAGAAACGCTTGTTTGCTCTGCCACTCGTGTGAGTTGAAGCTCGATGTACAGATGGACGGATGGATGGACGGATGGATGGATGGACGGATGGATGGATGGACGGATGGACGGATGCAGGGAAATAAGCTCGTCCCTGAAAAAGCCTCAGCACAGACGAACAAACAACAGCAAAATGTCAGCCTGCAGCCCTCGGGCGATCGACTTAGGCCTGCTGTCAAATAAACTCTCTCTCTCTTTTAAAGTAATCCACTAAACTGACTCGCTCCAGCCTGATCAGCCGAGCCCAGCACTGAGAGTCTCTGACACATCCGTCCGTTTACCATCCCTCCGTCCGTCTGTCTCTCCATCCTTCCGTCCGTTTACCATCCCTCCGTCCGTCTGTCTCTCCATCCTTCCGTCCGTTTACCATCCCTTCGTCCGTCTATCTCTCCATCCTTCTGCCTGTTTACCATCCCTCTGTCTGTCTGTCTCTCCATCCTTCTGTCCGTTTACCATCCCTTCGTCCGTCTATCTCTCCATCCTTCTGCCTGTTTACCATCCCTCCGTCCATCTATCTCTCCATCCTTACATCTGTTTATCCATCCCTCCGTCCGTGTCTCTCCATCTTTCCGTCCGTTTACCATCCCTCTGTCCATCTATCTCTCCATCCTTACATCTGTTTATCCATCCTCCGTCCGTCTATCTCTCCAATCTTCTGTTTACCATCCCTCTGTCCGTCTATCTCTCCATCCTTCTATCAGTTTATTGTCCCTCCGTCCCTCTAACTCTCCATCCTTCCTTCCATTTAACATTCCTCCGTCCATCTATCTTTCCATCCTTCCATTTATCTATCCATTCATCCATCCATACATCCATCCATCTATACATCCGTCCATCCATCCGTCCAACCATCCATAGAGTTTATATCACAATACCTACATTTAGAGTCAGTTATTCATTCAACCTAATGAGAAACTGTAGAACAGACTCAGTTTATATCACAATACCTACATTTAGATCTAAACTATCATAAAACAGTGTCTCAGTCATCAGACAGTGAATTCATAACCATTTCATGTAGTAACTTTCTGTGAGGGAGCTTTTAGAGGTGGACGTCTGGTTCCTGTCACCACCACTGTGAACAGTTCTGACTCAGTAAGTTTCTCGTTTCACACCAAACCACTCTGAACGACTCTGTTTACATCCTAACCAGTTAATTATCCTGAATTCCTTTTTAAATCTGTTCGGCTGGATGGGATTTTTAGCAGAACACGTTTGTGGGCGGAGCCTGGAAAGGGTAATTTAGCAGGTCCCATTAGCCTCGTAGCTCCAGCGCTAAAAATAAAGAAGTGAACATCAAACACCAAACAGGTCCTGCTGGTCCACTACAGTAACTCTGGGGTGAATGTCGGTGTCATTTGGCTCCGCCCCTTTTCTTCCACAGCAGATTAGACAGTATCGGGAGATTTTAACAGAATCACAGCTCTGGAATGTTAACAGCTCTAGTTGAGCTTCACAGGATCAACTGCTCTAACCTGTTTATCATAATCTTCATCATAGAGCTCCATAATAATCATCTGCTCTCCTTCACTGCACTGTCAGCACCGACACTCAGCACAGGAGTCTGACCACTCTCCCTCCTTCACTCGCCCGGCTCTCTGTCCTCCTCTCCTCTTTTACCCTATTCTCTCTCTCTCTCTCTCTCTCTCTCTCTCTCTCTCTCTCTCTATCTCTTGTCCTTCCCCTTTCTATCTCTCTCCAGATTTCTTTCCCTTTCTTTTTTCTTTCCTCCTCTTTCTCTTACTTCTCTTTTCCTCTCTCTCCTTTCTTAACCCCCTCTCTCTTTCTCTTCTTTCTTCCTCTCTCTGTCTTTTTCCTCCCTCTCGTTTTTCCCCCTTACTGTCTCTCCTTTCTCCATGTCTTTCTCCCTCTCTTTTTGCTCCTCCTCTCTCTTTTCCCCATTTCTCTTTCCCCCTCCTTCTCCTCATCGCTCTCTCTCGCTCTCTGTCCCTGAGCATCACATGTGTCTGACGCTCTCTCTCTCTCTCTCTCTCTCTCTCTCTCTCTCTCTCTCTCTCTCTCTCTCTCTGCTTCTGTTTATCTGATTTTCCTGCTGAAGGTTTTGGAACCTCCACTGAAGTAATCAGTGACAATAACAGGAAGTGTCCAGAGGAGCGGCTCGTTTTGCTGACCGCTGGACTGAACTGGACTCAGAGCTCGTGCAGGTTCACGCTGAGCTGAGCTGAGCTGAGCTGAGCTGGGAGAGCAGCTGGAGTTTAAACTGACTGATATTTTTCTCTCTGGATTAAAACAGAAACCAGCTCAGCTGGAGGAGCTTCGTCAGGTAGGAGAGTCTTTACCTTCATTAATCCCTTCATTCTTCTCTTTTACTGAGACTGAAGCATCAAACGCTCTGAGAAAAAGTACAATCAGTGACCAAAACCACTGACCGTTCATAAACCGTTTCTTTTTAACGGTCTTCGTTATGTCATTACACAATTATTGATCATTTCTTATTATTGAAAGTCAATTTCTTTTACTTTTAAAAGAAAATAAACTCAATGATTGGTCAAAATATCAATATTGTGAAGACATATTATAAATATATTCTTTATTTTTTTGGATTATACTGGCTTTTTTAATGTTCTGTGTTTTTAAATGTGATTAACTGCGTCGTTATTGATCTGTTTTGTTAAAATTCAGATTTTTTGTTAAAAATCAGTGACTGATAACAGTGATCACTTTTGAATTCTTTCTGATTTCATTCTTTTTCATATCGTTATTGATCTCTTTCACTGAAAGCCAAATTCTTTACTTCCGAATCCAGACAATTTTTTTTTATTTTAATAATTTTAATAATTTTATTTATTTACATAATAAACGGTATAAAACAATAGTTTGATCTCATTCTCCCACACATGGACGATCGTTTGTGATCAGAATCAGGATCTGGCCGATTTTTCCTTGAGTAAGAAGGAAGGAAATTCCAGGGCGCTGCTGCTCGTGGGAATTGGCAGTTTAAATTCGGCTGCGTTAACGTTACGCACGTCTTCAGGGACTCAGTGATAATAATAAATCCGTAAACCATCTGGCCATTCATCTCCACTTACTCAGTAAACATGGCGGGCTGGTCTTCAGGGCAGCCTGCATGTCAGCTCAGTGATCGAATAGGATTCACTTCTTTTTTAGGATTATAACTCACAATAACAAGTTCATACATCCAGGTATACGCAGTGTTAAAGAGCCCGTATCCCCCATTTTTCTTGTGTTTTATTTTCACGTCTGTCCATTTTATAACCTCTTATCAAACAGGCTGCTTTTGTTGCTGTTCCTTTAAGACTGAAATATGTAAATGAGCTCTGTTCTGATTGGCTGTGCCACATTCAAAAAGCAGTCCAAGCTGAAACAGGCCTTATAACTTATATCAGTGTGAGTGGGCGGGGCTAAACTGCTGTAGATATATGAATATGTGACATCACAAAAACAAAGGAAGCTTGGTTTCCTTTTCACTCTTGTCAAGTGAACCGATCTTAAATCTAGTTGAAATATCAAATATTATCCATTTTGAGATGGTTGTGCACTTATTATAAGATTAGCTCATTTATTTCTAGACATTTTGTCTTGTTTTAGGTAATTTTATCAAGTAAAGTTATTTCACGATGTTAATTTATGATCAGTTTCAAGCACATTTCTTACAACACGCAAAATTATCTGACCAAATAGTGAGATAATTTTACTTTAAATTACTTAAAACAAGTAAATAATGCTTAGAAATAAGGTAAATAATCTTAAACAATGCTTACGACAATTTCAACAGGAGAAATATTAGATTTATCAACTATATTTAAGATAATTTTACTTGACACGATACCATTTTTGCAGTGTAGGTGCTCTAATGATTCATCCACCTTTTTCTTAGTGCTACTAGTAATATTTTCTAATTATAAGTGACAAATTTGTAGGACTCAAAATAAAAAAAATTGCGGTTGATATTAATTTTGTAATATATGATAATATAAGCCAGTAGTTTTAGTCAAAGAGTGACAAGTGAAATTGTGTCAAATTTGTAATATTTTCATTTTAAGGCTGTTTTGATAAATATCTAAAATTATTAACTTATTCATTAATACTTTTTTCTTGTTTTAGATACTTGCATCTAGTGAATGTCATATTCTGTTAGTAAATCATTTTGATTATTATTATTAATTCTTATTATAAAATAAGACTGTCAAAATGCTGCTTAAAATGAACAAAATGTCTACAAATAGGTCAAATGAATCTAATAATATTCTTAGAACAGTATACTAATGAAATATATATATATATATATATATGTGTGTGTGTGTGTGTGTGTGTGTGTGTGTATATATATATTTTTTTATTAGCATACTGTATATTATTAGATTCATTAATATGTATGTATATATATATATATATATATATATATATATATATATATATATATATATATATATATATATCTCAAATAATTCAGAAAATTTAATTTTCCTCACTTTCTTGAAACAAGACAGTTACAGGACGGACGCAATACAGGACGGCTAATAATAACAGAGCTCATTTACATATATGTCTTAAAGGCACTGTAACTAAAACAGCCTGTTTGATTCTAAGGGATTAAGAAAGGTTAAAAAATGATCATGTAAATATGAATTATGACAACTCAGAGGACAGGACACATGTAGGACATCGGCCCATTAAGATGATTTCACTTATATCGTTCACTGTGATTTCATTTTTTTGCATTGCTGGTGCATTATTATGCGGATGAGACACCGACATTGGGTAATATTATCGGTTAACCGATACATCAGTCCAGCCCTGTGTATTTCACAGCTTGAGTCCATGAATAATGTCTGCTATGTCAGTGTGGACGAGCTGGGTGTGATACGGGGCTGATAAGTGAATAAAGAGGCCGTGGAGGAGCAGAAGAGGGAGAGAACGTGTAGTGAGCAGGTGTGGCGAGTGAATCCTGTCAGATAGCGAGGCGGCGAGTGATGAACATGCGAAGGAGCAGCAGAAGAGTGTCAGGCTGAGTCTCCTGCAGCTGAGCTGTGTCGCGGGCAGACAGATTGCTGGAAGCTGCTCTGTGATTAAACCTATTTTAATCCACACAGACGGGTCAGTGTTGTAGCTTTAGAGCCATCAAACAACAGCACTCAATGAGCATAGTAAGTCTCTATGCTCATACATTTCTATGTATATCTATATACATGTAGCAAAAAAATGTTCATATTGAGACAATAAATCTTAATTTATTCTCTGATGAGATTACTTGTAAAAGTAAAAAGCAATAAATATTTGATTATTTTGTTTATTATACAATACAATTACCTTAATTACTTAGATATTTTACCTTATTTAAGTCATTTATGGCACAAAACAAGCATCGAGTCTCTCACCATGTTAATAAGTTGGCTTATTAAGTTGCCTAATAATCTAGGAACCACCTGAGTTTGCATAGCAACACCCAAGCAACACCTTAGCAACCACCTGAGATACCGCAGAAAAGACCAAGCAACACCTTAACAACCAACTGGGATGCAATAGCAACAGCCTAGCAAAACCTTAACAACCAACTGGGATGCCATAGCAATGCCCAAGCAACACCTTAGCAACCAACTGGGATACCATAGCAACAGCCCAGCAACACCTTAACAACCAACTGGGATACCACAGCAACAGCCTAGAAACACCTTAACAACCAACTGGGATGCCATAGCAATGTCCAAGCAACACCTTAGCAACCAACTGGGATACCATAGCAACAGCCTAGCAACACCTTAACAACCAACTGGGATACCATAGCAACAGCCTAGCAACACCTTAACAACCAACTGGGATACCATAGCAACAGGCTATTAAATATATGAAATTCAACCTATCCAGCAACTTAGCAACGTAAAATACCACAGCAGCCACCTATCAGTATAAAAGCTTTTACTGCATTTTCAATATTTAAATAACCAAACAATAAAATAACTCAAACTAAGAAAACCTCTCAGAGTGTAAACAACCTACTGCTGTCAACCAATCATTACTGTGTTTACCTAATAAAGATATTAAAAACAATCAAAAGCTAAACATCTTTTAAGGTGTGATTAGTTGTCTGTCAACCATCTTAAAGTTCTATCACAAGCTTTCCCTTTTAATTCTGATTATTATGACTATAGTTTTGATATTAAACGAGGACTCGTTTCAGGGAGTAGCTCCTCGTACACCATCTCACTTCAGGACCTGAAAGTGGAGCTTAAATTTATTTAAAAGCTGAATTTAGAGCGTTGTGTACAGTTTTGTACAGTAAAAGCAGAATTCTGACGTTTTGTTTGGTGAGCAGATTCGACTCAGGATGGTTTAATGCAGTTTAGAGTTGCACTAAGAGACTAAGAGCTTTTAGAGAAACAGACTCGTACTGAGTCTCTGTGTCCTGTTACTGTGGAGGGAATCAGAAGATATAAATATATATGCAAAACGATGAGCTAAAAAAAAACAAGTAATAAAAAAAAATGACTTTAATACTTTAATACCAATGAAATGATCTGTTCATGTGGTTCAAAGGTTTGAAATCGCTGCTTTTTAGATCAAATGACTTGAGATAATAGCACAATTATAAGTGAAACACACTGAATATTAACTGATAATTCTTCGGTTATTTTTTTTTTCATTCTGAATTTCACCAGAGTGAAAAAATGAAGGAAAATGAATCAGTAATTTAGTGTAAATGACTGAAAACTAGTGGATGAAGATTCTGCTGTTACTGAAACAAATTGTCTGATGTTGAAACAGGACTAAACCTGTATTTAGTCTAAAACTAAACGTGATAACAGAGGAAACGTTTTAGTGATAGAGAGCGATACAGATTGACACTGTACCTAATATAGCTTGTTTTACCAGTAATTAACTGAATTTTAAGATTTCCTGACTAAATGAGGCTTAAAAGACAAATTTATGATGAATTTAGGAACAAACTGTGAATTCAAACATAGAAACTAGTAAAAAGCTAAAACAGGTTAACTAATCTCACGTTTCTAGATGTAAGATTTTAAATCTTGGCACACAGAACAATCTGTAGTGTGTATATACAGGGTACAGGGGTCGAGTGGGAGGTGTGGGGGGGGGTTGTTGGGGCTGAATTGCAGGAAGGGTGTGAGTGTTCAGTGGCATTAACGTAATTACAGCTCACATCACAAACCAAACATGGACGTTATTCTCCCCAGAAGCACCTACCCCTCCCAACCCGCATTGTGCTCCAACTTCCACCCTCCGATAAGAACAACCTGCTCATGAGCTCACAGTGACTCATTTATAACAGTCTTAATAACCTCTCATTAAAAACACATTTCCATTTATAGGCCAAAGCCACTGTCTGATTACACTGTTTATTCTCTTTAGAGTGTCTGATTGAACTGTTTATTCTCTTTAGAGTGTCTGATTACACTGTTTATTCTCTTTAGAGTGTCTGAACTGTTTATTCTCTTTAGAGTGTCTGATTGAACTGGTTTATTCACTTTAGAGCGTCTGATTGAACTGTTTTATTCACTCTAGAGTGTCTGATTGAACTGTTTTATTCACTCTAGATCGTCTGATTCAACCGTTTTATTCACTTTAGAGTGTCTGATTGAACTGTTTTATTCACTCTAGAGTGTCTGATTGAACTGGTTTATTCACTTTAGAGCATCTGATTGAACTGTTTTATTCACTTTAGAGCGTCTGATTGAACTGTTTTATTCACTTTAGAGCGTTTGATTGAACTGTTTTATTCACTCTAGAGTGTCTGATTGAACTGTTTTATTCACTTTAGAGCGTCTGATTGAACTGTTTTATTCACTTTAGAGTGTCTGATTGAACTGTTTTATTCACTTTAGAGCGTCTGATTGAACTGTTTTATTCACTTTAGAGCGTCTGATTGAACTGTTTTATTCACTTCAGAGCGTCTGATTGAACTGTTTTATTCACTTTAGAGCGTCTGATTGAACTGTTTTATTCACTCTAGAGCGTCTGATTGAACTGGTTTATTCACTTTAGAGCGTCTGATTGAACTGGTTTATTCACTTTAGAGCGTCTGATTGAACTGTTTTATTCACTTTAGAGCGTCTGATTGAACTGGTTTATTCACTTTAGAGTGTCTGATTGAACTGTTTTATTCACTCTAGAGCGTCTGATTAAACTGTTTATTCTCTTTAGAGTGTCTGATTAAACTGTTTTATTCACTCTAGAGCGTCTGATTGAACTGTTTTATTTACTCTAGATTGTCTGATTGAACTGGTTTATTCACTTTAGAGCGTCTGATTGAACTGTTTTATTCACTCTAGATCGTCTGATTCAACCGTTTTATTCACTTTAGAGCGTCTGATTGAACTGTTTTATTCACTTTAGAGCATCTGATTGAACTGTTTTATTCACTCTAGAGCGTCTGATTAAACTGTTTATTCTCTTTAGAGTGTCTGATTAAACTGTTTTATTCACTCTAGAGTGTCTGATTGAACTGTTTTATTTACTCTAGAGCGTCTGATTGAACTGTTTTATTTACTCTAGATCGTCTGATTCAACCGTTTTATTCACTTTAGAGTGTCTGATTGAACTGTTTTATTCACTTTAGAGGGTCTGATTGAACTGTTTTATTCACTCTAGAGTGTCTGATTGAACGGTTTTATTTACTCTAGAGTGTCTGATTGAACTTTTATTCACTCTAGAGCATCTGATTGAACTGTTTTATTCACTCTAGAGCGTCTGATTGAACTGTTTTATTCACTCTAGATTGTCTGATTGAACTGGTTTATTCACTTTAGAGAGTCTGATTGAACTGTTTTATTTACTCTAGATTGTCTGATTGAACTGGTTTATTCACTTTAGAGAGTCTGATTGAACTGTTTTATTCACTCTAGAGCGTCTGATTGAACTGGTTTATTCACTCTAGAGCGTCTGATTGAACTGTTTTATTTACTCTAGATTGTCTGATTGAACTGGTTTATTCACTTTAGAGAGTCTGATTGAACTGTTTTATTCACTCTAGAGCGTCTGATTGAACTGTTTTATTTACTCTAGATTGTCTGATTGAACTGGTTTATTCACTTTAGAGTGTCTGATTGAACTTTTATTCACTTTAGAGCGTCTGATTGAACTGGTTTATTCACTTTAGAGCGTCTGATTGAACTGTTTTATTCACTTTAGAGTGTCTGATTGAACTGTTTTATTCACTCTAGAGTGTCTGATTGAACTGTTTTATTCACTCTAGAGTGTCTGATTGAACTGGTTTATTCACTTTAGAGCGTCTGATTGAACTGTTTTATTCACTTTAGAGTGTCTGATTGAACTGTTTTATTCACTCTAGAGTGTCTGATTGAACTGTTTTATTCACTCTAGAGTGTCTGATCGAACTGTTTTATTCACTCTAGAGTGTCTGATTGAACTGGTTTATTCACTTTAGAGCGTCTGATTGAACTGTTTTATTCACTCTATATTGTGCAATTTGGAAATATGGATAAATAAACAAGTTCAAATTCAATTGAAATCTAAAACTTTCAGAATTGTTAGAGGATTTAAAAACAAAGGCAGGAAGTCACTTCTGCAGTAGCTTTCAGGGGGCTTTGTGTGAAAGTGGGCGACTGAGTGAAGCTGCCCGAGTGTTCGAGGTTCAGCCGTTTGGGAAACGATTTGCTCGTATAAAAAACAAAATGAAACAGCAGTTAATGGCATTCGTCTGAGCTTATATTGAGCCTACAACACAAAAGTAATGTTTCTTTTTTAATTAACTGATTAATCACATTTTTAAAAATAGCTGAAACTGATTTTGCTCCTGATTTTGAAGTTCAATGAAAATTCTCTCTATTTTGTTTCATCATTTTTACTGCTGAATACTCACTGGTGACAATCATGTAATCAACAGCACAACATACCATAAAACAAAACTGCTCTATTACATTGATGTTTGATATCTTTAAGCAAAATGAACAAGGTTAACATCTTTTTGCTCAGCAAAGTAGCCTATCAGAGCAACGACCCGCTGATTATTGCGTACATCATCATCCAACATCATCATTACCGCTTATCAGTATCTGTATGATGGCAGATTTTCACAGTAAAGTGTAAACGCTCACACAGAGTTGGAGAACATTTCTCTGGTGATTGTTTTATAGATGAAAGCTGACATTAATAAGAAATAAGAAATGATATTTTCATTGGCATTGAAAGACTGGTTTCTAGTTAGAGGGTCTAGGCCCTCACAGACCCCCAGAGTTGTAGCCAAGGTGTGGCCAGTCCTCCCCTAACATGACGTATGGCCACCCCTTGGCTACAACTCTGGGGGTCTGCGAGGGCCTAGACCCTCTAACTAGAAACCAGTCTTTCAATGCCAATGAAAACATCATTTCTTACATCTTCATATAAATCTTGATGAACCCAAAGGATTTCTGACATCCTCGTTCCTTTCCACACCTTAAACTCATAAAAGTGGCCGTCAAAGCGCTCCCTACCAATTTTCACCACCACTTTTTGGCAGCTGATATCACCAGTGTGATGTTAACATGATCAGTCGTGTTCCTGTATGGAGAGACTGCAGCTGTTCTGTGTTTAGTGTTTAGTCACTAGCATGGCTGACTAGCAAAGCTGATCAAGGTAGTGGTCACTCTGTGTGCCAGTACTGCCCAGAGAACAATTTTATAGCTCAAATGTTGCTCAAGAGACGTGATGGTGATTCTCCTAAAATTCCTGTAGCGTTTGACCAAAAGGAGACATGAATAATAAAGGAGAGGTGAGAGTTCAGCTGCATATACACATCTTCAAATCTGAGTTCAATGAGAGGCTTTACTGAGAAATGTGAGTTTACTGAGCCGGAGAGACATCTGAGCAGCAGGAGAAACTTGTTGTGGTTTCTTAGAAGAAACAGATCTATTAACTTTCTGTGGTCTGAGGTCATTCTCTCTCAATTTTTTATATCTTCTAAAACTCTCCTTTAGATGCTCTTCATATAACATGATCCTCATATGTTTCATATCAAAATGCTCCGTTATCTTCATCACTACTTTCCAAAACTGCTGCAGCAGCTTCAGCAGCTGTAAACTCTCTGCACACCATTTCACACGAGTCTCCGATGTGGACTGAATGAAGGATGAAGGGTTTCCGGCGTGATGGTCAGTCCTTAGTGATTTCCTGAGTGTCCATTGGTCAGTTTCACACAGAATGTAGACGGACACACGAATCCACCAGTTCCACACGGTGAGAGGCAGATGACGTGTATCTCAGCCCCTCTTCATAGGCTCATAACTCCAGACTCGAACCTCAGAGATTCGACATTCAACTCGGACTCTTATCTCAGAGACTTCAGGAGATCCCTTTTTATGTTTTTCTTCCCTCGGGCTGAACTCAGTCGGAGCAACTATAGCAAAGGAAACCGAGTGCTTTTAGAAAGTTTTTGTACCCAAAGCCTCACTTTCAGAGATCAAACTGATGTTATAAGAGATAAAAACGTGTATTAGAACTTCTCAGACCTTCAGATAGATCATCACCACCTCACACCTTTTCTCTTCTTAAAGTTACAGGGTCACTGGCCTGGTCAGCGTCCCTCACTGTCTGGTTTAGAGTGATCAATAATTGCTCTGTGGTTTTCTTCTCCAGAGGATGATCCACCCTGTCTGGAGGCAGATGGCCTTGACTTTACTTTGGGCAGGTTTCCTGGGCCTGCAGTTCATCCTCAGTGAGGCTGAAGATGTTAAGGATGTCCACCACAGTCCGGTTCTTCACAGACAAAAGCGAGAATGGAGGTTTAACATATTGCTTGCTTTTGAGGAAATACCACCCCAAAATCTTCCACAGCTAATCGGACAGGTAAGAGCTTCTAAAGGAACAAAATTACACAGTGAAAAACTCTGTCTTGACTATCTTGAATCATCTAAAATCTAGTTAACAGGACTGTTTTTCATTATGAAGTTGATGTAAGAATATTACAGAATCAGTTTAGATATTTTTTGTTTTAAGTGACTTTATCTGGTAAAATAATCTCATTTTTTTGGTATTGTGCTTGTTTTAGTGAAATTCAAGATCAATTCACTTATTTAAAGAAACACGCAAAATTATCTGCCGGTGCAACAAGAAAATGTAGCCAGATAAAATGACTTAAAATGAGCAAAAAATAAAATTAGGTTAAATAATCTTATAATATTCTCACAGCAATGCTATAGACTATGTAACTGACTGGCTTGAACAAAATATTTTAAATCATATGTTGCTTTAACTTTTATCTTTTCCAGCTATTAAACACCCGTGCAGGCGCCAATACTCAGTTTAAAATCTCTGGAGAAGGAGTGGATGGAGTGAATGACCTCTTTACTGTGAATAAGGCTGGAGAGATCTTTGTTATGGCCACTCTGGATCGAGAGAAGAAAAGCTCCTACAAACTGAAAGCTCACATCTTTAACACCATCACCAAACGGCCCCTGGATGACGACATAGAATTCACTGTAAAGGTACAAGACGTTAACGACCACGCGCCAGTCTTCTCTGAGACCTACACTGGATCCATCAGGGAGCGCTCACGCCAAGGTACAGGACCATCTCACTAAATCTCACTGAAGGTGTTTTCAGGCTGCTAACGGTTCATAGAGTTAAAGTTGCACCTTCTCCTACTTACTGTGTACATTTTCACTGAACTGCTACCTCAGCCATGATACTCACTGTATCTGCTGCTCTTTCACTTCCACACTCAGTCACTTCACTGTCAAACTTTAACCTCATTCACTTTATATGCAGTCACTGTAATCTGTAAAATCTTTGTGGTTGCATTACAGAACTATTGTTTATTATCAACGCATTGATAAACAGTATATAGTTACAATTACTGTATAATTACAGAAGAATTAACTGTATAGTGTTTGTATAGTTTGTATTTAGCAAGCAAGAAAGTTTATTTATATAGCGGTTATTACAACAGATGTTGTCACAAAGCAGCTTTACAGAAAAATCAGCATTACAGAAAACGGGTCCGAGCCCCCATGAGCATCGCCGGTAAGGAAAAACTCCCTAAGAGCAAGAGGAAGAAACCTCGAGAGGAACCAAGACTCAGAAGGGGAACCCATCCTCCTCTGGTCGACACCGGATAGCAAACATTGTTAGTATAAAGTATTATAGTAAAAAACGGGGAAAACAGGTGGAGCAATAGTTAATTTGATTAGTTTTAGATTATGCAGCAGCAGCAGCAGCATCGGGAGGGTCAGTTCATGAGGGTGAGGTTTGCACAGTGTTGTACAGCATGAAGCTCAATGGTGGTCAAGCCGAGCAGTGGCACCCGATCAAGGCAGAAGAGGCAACAGCATCAGACGCACAGGATGGGCAGCTGTTCAACATGGCAATGAAAGGAAACACACAGAGAGTCAGTTCTGTAATGAGTGACTGATTACAGATTACAGTGTTAATGGAGCAGCAGAGACTCCATCAGGTCTGGATCTGACAGGGAAAACTAATTACCAAAGGCTTGACTATATAAGTAAGTTTTTAGCTTAGACTTAAACACTGAGGTCTGAGTCCCGAACATTAACAGGAAGACTATTCCAAAGCTGGGGGGCTTTGTATGAGAAGGCTCTCCCCACTGACGTAACTTTATTAATTCTAGGTACTAATAGTGAGCAGCACCTTGTGATCTAAGTAGGCGTGATGGTTCATAGCGGGAGAGAAGTTCACTCAGGTACTGAGGGGCGAGTCCATTTAGAGCTTTATAGGTCAGTAATAGGATTTTATAATCAATGTGAATTTGAACTGGTAACCAGTGTAGGTTGATAGAACTGGGCTGATATGGTCGAACTTTCTGGTTCTTGTAAGAACTAACTTTTCTGCATCCTGTAGAGAGAATGCATTTCTCAATTTAGCAGTATTGCGGAGATGCAGGAAGGCTGTTCTAGTAATATTAGTTATGTGTGCGTCGAAGGACAGATCAGGGTCTATAATGACACCAAGGCTTTTTACAGATGAGCTTGATGCAACTGAGAAATTGTTAAATTTAAGTGTTAAATTAGACAGTTTGTTTCTTGCCGCTTTTGGACCAAGAAGTAGAACCTCTGTTTTATCTGAGTTAAGTAACAGAAAGTTACTCGACATCCAGTCCTTTATGTCTTTTATACAGTCCTCAGACTTGCTAAGTTTAATTTTATCATCCGGATCGCTTGATATATTTAACTGAGTGTCATCGGCATAGCAGTGGAAATTTATGCCGTGTTTACTGATAATGGTGCCCAGCGGTAGCATATATAATGTGAATACAATAGGTCCTAAAACAGAGCCTTGTGGAACACCATACTTTACTTTTGTGAGGACAGATGATTCACCATTTACATTAACAAACTGAGTTTTTATTTATTTATTGAGTTCATTGAGTTTATTGTCTCTCTGCTGCTGTTCTGTGTTAAATGCAGCACCGTGTTCTGGAGAAACTACATTTCGTTCCTCTCTCAACACATCTGTGCTAAGAAGGAATGTCAGTAAACACTGACATACAGGCTTATTGACTAGCGCACAGTTTACTGTATACAGTCCAGTCCATAGATATTTGGGCATCAACAATGTTATGTCTAGGCATTGACCCCATCATCAGGAGATCGCGAGTTCAATCCCTGGTGATGCTACAGGAATCCCAGAGGTTGTTGTCCTCCCTCTCTTTGGGTGCAATGCTAGTCAGCGCAGGCGTCTGTTAGCTGGCGGTTGGCGTTTTCTTGTTCCGAGCGCGTTCAGCTGTCCAATGACAATGTAGTAGTGGTATTTATCTAGTACTTTGGAATAATTATCTAGTACTTTGGAGTACCTCATACTTACCTGGTCATTATCTAGAATGTAGAGGACTGTAAAAGAAAATGTTACCAGACAGTTTGTTTGACAGATAGATAGATTTATAAACTACGATTTTGCTCAAATGCTCCATCCCGTTAATCCATTCCTTTGGGACTCACTTGGGAGCGCCCTCTAGCATTTGAAAGACATTACAGAGCTGTAATTCTCCTCTCAACAAATTCTCTGGTCCTAATTATTGGGTTGAATCGGATCCACTCGCGATTCCCGGTTTAAGCGTTAGCAGGTAAAACTTACATCCGCTCCATGGAACTACTGCAGGAGCAATGACAAAATGTTATAGTAGTGAACTATAATGCTCAAACACTGAGCTACTACTACTAGAGAGAATAGGAAGTGGATGGAAGCCCTGATTTAACTTTAAACAGAGCTAAAATGCTGTATGTGTGGTGTAGCCCTGTTTACTGCTGCTGCAGCTGCTCACCTCAAGCAGTCTCTGTGTCTTTGGACAACATGACAGTGATTTCTTTAAAACATTTATGTTTTAAATGGAAAGAAGAACTTTTCTATGTAGAATGAATTTGATAGACTCTATTTATATTGAGTTAGCTATGCTGGCTAGAAGCTATTGCAAATAGTGGCTATCAAGATTTCACTGCATAACTGTGACGCTAATACACAGTTAGGTAGAGTCGCGTTTTGATTGAGCAGTGAAAGCTGTACCGCTTGTACTGCTTCAAAAATTATAATGAAACTTAAAGAATGATGCTGTTTGGCAGATCTTATTTTTATTTATTTCTGTAAATATTTGTGTTTTTCAAAAATAAAAAACTTTCATATGTAGTATGAATTTGGTAGACTTTGTTTAGATAACTAGGTAGATAATTAGGTAACTAGCTTTAGAAGCTATTGCTAACTGTATAGTTATACTATAAGTTATAGTTACTGTATATCCCAAACAAGGGAGCTAGCTCTCATTAGCTGCTGGCACCAGTTGGCTAACATGAAGCAGGTTCTGTGACACGTTTTCAGCAAGCCAGTGATTTCTCTAACATTATAAACGCAAACCAAAACTTTTATATGTAAAGTCTATTTTAAAAGACCTCATTTAAGCTCCCTTTTAGCTTATGGTAGGCTAGCAGGCTACAGCGCTAATTAGCTAGCCTACTATTAGCAGTTTAAGGAGCAGCAGCTTCATATGAGCAGCAAACTTTAAAGCTAGCTGGTTAGCTGTGTTAACAATCTGCCAAACAGCATTATTCTTTAGTGAAATCTTGATAGCCACTGTTAGCAATGGCTTCTAGCCAGCATAGCTAACTCAATATAAATAGAGTCTATCAAATCACTGGCATGTTGTCCAAAATCACAGAGACTACTTGAGGTGAGCAGCTGCAGCAGCAGTAAACAGGGCTACACCACACATACAGCATTTTAGCTCTGTTTAAAGTTAAATCAGGGCTTCCATCCACTTCCTATTCTCGCTGTTTAGAATAACAGACAATTTGGCTGTTGCAGCCCAGTGTTTGAGCATTATAGTACACTACTATAACATTTTGTCATCGCTCCTGCAGTAGTTACCTGGAGCGAAAGTGAGTTTTACCCTGCTGAATAATTACGCCTCTTTATTGAAAGGGTCCATTGGGGAGGAAATTGGGTAAAAATGTTATTGTTGTTTTATCAGTCTAACACAGCATATTGGAGTTGAATTGAAATATTGAGACTTTCATCTTTTGATGGTATCCAAATCAGTTGACTGGTGTAGGAATCACAGCCATTTTCACACAGATTAACTGTATAGTTGGCTGCTCAGCTGTTCCGTGGCCAGGTGTGTGTAATTTCCTCTTTATTTCACTTACCAGGGAGCAGATAAAAGGTCTAGAGTTGATTTTAAGTGTGGCATTTGCATTTGTCTCAATATGAAGTCCGAAGAGCTTCACTGCGAGTGAAAAAGTCATCACTGAGTTAAAGTTTTTGAGTTGGTGTCAACCGATTAGTACAGTTATATGGCGTTTAGTGCCCTGCTCTGCACTGAGCGATGGTTCTCGCCTGCTGCTGTGTTCCTGATTAAAGACTAAAGCGCTGGCTAAAGCGCAATGTTTCCTGCATCTTCTTCTTCTCTGATGCCACACCGGTGTCAGAAGTGAACCAGTTACGTTTTTACATTACATTTTTACATACTGCATTTACAGGAATAACAATGTAAATGTGATATTTTTACAGGAGCTGCAGTGCTGACTGTTACAGCCACCGATGCAGATGATCCAACATCTCCCAACGGAAACATCAACTATGAGTTGTTAAATGGAACAGAATATTTCAGCATTAAGAGTACCACAGGTACAAATACAAAATTACTAAAATTTACTTACAATTACTAAAAATAATCTTTTTTAACCCAGGAATTATTCAACTATAATTTATAGATGTTTTTGATTGATTGTCATTTTATCTACTGAAATGATCTTACAGCATAGGCAGATCATATATATATATATATATATTTATATATATACAAGATGCAAAATACTGGGGCCCTTGGGGACCTGGAATTAACCTTCCTGAATGTTTTAAAATCTAAATTCTGGGGGTCCTCAGCACAATCAGTGAATCCACATGTTTTTGCTTGTTTTAGGTGAAATCACGGTTCAGGATAACAAACTGGACCGTGAGACTCAAAGTCAGTATAAACTGGTTGTCAAGGCCTCAGACTTACCTGGTTTACCTGGAGGACTCAGTACAACCACCACAGTGACCATTAATATAAACGATATCAATGACAACATGGCAACCTTCAAAAAAGGTATGTGAACTTTTATAATGGTGTATTTGGACATTCGGCTCCTCCTAAAATCTCATCACAAAGCTGCACTCAAACGGCCAACAAAGCGGTCAACATTACTGGGAAACTAGTTCCATGTTAGCTGAGTTTAGCAGTTGTGATGCCTTACCAGAACGTTCCCTGATACAACACAGATTCTGCAGACCAAGCTGGCCGATAATGTGGTCAACCAGCACTGTATAGAATTTCAAACCTTAAATTCAGGTCAACGTTAAATCTTCAGATCACTTACTTTACAGCTTTCTGGCATTTTTTGGTACTGAAGCTCAGTTAGGTTAGTGTTTATTTCTTTATTTATTTATTTAGTATGTTATAAAAAAGAGATTTTACCATAAAACGTTATTTATCTGGTATCCTTCAAATTTTCAGTTTGGTGACGCTGATGATTCTGTTAACATATTATTTGAAATTCAATAAAATTTAAATTTTAGGCAAACAGACTTTTACTTTTTAGACAGTCATGCCACTCAAGATCACCCCAAAATCACTTACATCTCTGGTTTAATACACTGTAACAATGATTTGGTGTTTTAAATTAAAGAAATACATGATCTGACTGTTACAAATCTAAATTAATTTCTTAGTAACTGAACAGAATGTAATATAACCATTACTATTTGTAACGTAGTAAATCTAAATATATGTAAAATTAAACTATGAAATGAAGATATTTACATCTTTCTAAGTGTTTTATGAGCCAGATTGTGTCGGACTAATTAACAAATACTTTTCTCTTTCCTTCGCTCAGTTAACAAAGAAAAATTACACAGGTTCTCATATCACAGGTTGGATTATTTACAGAAACAAATTAATGATACATTAATTTCTGTGTTATTGTATCATAATGTAATGACTACCTATAGAACAGATAAGTTCTATTGCGTAGCAACCAACAATACACATCTGTAATGCAGAGAGTGACGCGTCCCTGAACCAGTTACTGATCATCACTCAAATACAAACAACTGATTACAGCGATTTGGTGATGTGACAGTTTTCCTAAGATGTCCGAATGCACCATAAACATGAAATTTAACATAATATAAATGATTACATTTCGTTACTCAAATGATCCAAAAGGAACCACAACTTGTTTCCTTTCAGAAACCTTCAGCTTTAGCGTGAGAGAGAACGAGAATCCACAGTTTACAGTCGGCACGTTACCTGTGGAGGACCGAGACGAGAAGCAGCACAAAAACCCCAGATTTACTGTGCAGAACTTTAATGACGTCTTCTACGTGGAACCGGATGACCAAAATGACGGAGCTCTGAAACTCAGAAAGGTGACTTTACTCATTTCAAAACTACAAACTACGACAGAATTACAGACTAAAACCTCCTTCAGATTATTTAAACACACAAATCAGTGAGGTTGTTCCTATGAATTTGTAGCTGTGCTGATAATCAAGCTAGTCAGGCTCAACATGTTTTTTCTGTAGCTGCTGTTGCAAAACTGGTAACAGTCCCATTCAGTTTTTACAAAATACCTCAATTATACGACAAAGTAAACCCAGCATGACCTTTAACACACATACAAAATATATATCAATCGAAATGAATAACCGACTCTAAATGTAGGTATTGTGATATAAACTGAGTCTGTTCTACAGTTTCTCATTAGGCTGAATGAATAACTGACTCTAAATGTAGGTATTGTGATATAAACTGAGTCTGTTCTACAGTTTCTCATTAGGCTGAATGAATAACTGACTCTAAATGTAGGTATTGTGATATAAACTGAGTCTGTTCTACAGTTTCTCATTAGGCTGAATGAATAACCGACTCTAAATGTATTTTCTCACTATTAATTGAAATACTAAGAAATTTTCTTGAAATTAACAAAATTATCAGCTAATATAATGAGATAATTTTACAAAATCACTTAAAATGAGTAAAATTATTTCTAGAAACAAGTTAAATAATCCTATAATTAAGTAACAGCAATCTCAAAACGAGAAATCTTAACTATATCAACAAGTTTCAAGATAATTTCACCTGAACTTCTGTTACACTTTGTCATTTGAAGATAATTATGTGACGACAAATAAACAATTCTTTGTCATTAAAGTTTAGTATTTAATAAAAACAACATTAAATCACAGCTGATGGCTGATACCAACTAATATACCTTATTTATTTGTGTGCTTGTATGAAATATTAATATATCTCAACCTTTTCCAGATGGTGTAAGCCCAAAAAAGTCCAATATTTTTAACATGTATGTCATAATTTTCTCCAGAGCCTGGACTATGAGACCACTTCAACGTACAGCTTTAAAGTGGTGGTCACAGAAGACGGCGTGGCTCAGCCTCCAGATAATCAGGGATCCATGCTGACCACTGTCCAAGTGCACATCACTGTGATTGATGTTGATGAACCGCCGGTCTTCAGCAAGGCGGAGTACACCTTTGACGTCCAAGAGGGCCCGATTAGAAATAAAGTCATCGGCTCCGTCTCAGCCAGAGACCCAGACAAGGCCAACTACAGGATGAAGTAAACTATATTCTATGTTCACTGTTTATTTATTGCTATCAGTAGAACCACTAGTTTTCACTGTAAATTGTAAAATACGGTTTTTAAAGTGATAGTTTGAACAGAACCCCGTATCCCAAACAACTAAGACATGTTTAGTGTCTGAATTTTTCTTCATTAATTTGCTTTACTGTAGGTCAGTGTTCATAAGGCTACATGACACCTGCTCATAAACTCTTCATGACCACTGACACAGACCTACATAAACATTTATAAACACTAATTCCAACAGGCGTTATTTGTCCTAAAGGTTGCAATTTCCAGTTTTGATGTCAAGCTGACATAAACTCGATTATTTTCTCACATTAGTTTGTGTTACAATACTTTCTGAGGTGAAATTAGACTTTGTATCTCAGTGAACATCACAGTGACATGATGCTGATAATATGCTGTAGCTCACCACAACAGGCTGAGTGAACCAAAGTGAGCATTTTCTGAGGCCCTTAAAGGGAACCTATAATGCTTTTCTGTTGTTTCTCTTTCCTTTAGTGAGTTGTAGCTGTTTGTGCATGTAAACAGTCTGTAAAGTCCCAAATCTCAGCTTTCCCTCCAGAGGGAGAAACTCTCTCCCACAGATCCCACTTTTCTCAGCTGCCTGAAACACCTAGTTGGAATTCCAGCCCTTTTCCTTGTTACAGGATGACATCATCTCGTAACACAGTCCTTACTGCCCGCCTCCCGGCAAGCTCGGCTCGCCCTCACACAGAGAGCTACAGAGTAAAAGCTGACCGCTTTAAAACGTCCTGCTCCAGTCCAGCTCGCGAAGGTGGATCGGCTCCACCAGCTTGTTCTACCGGACTGTCAGGATCGACTCTGGAACAAACTGATACGGCAGAACTGACACCGTTATAAGAACAGACACAGCGGTGTGGGGGCGGAGCTTGTAGCAGGACACCACTCTGCAGTTGACTAAACAGAACAGAGTAGGCGAGCTGACCAATCAAAGAACGCTGGGCTCATCGGGAGGCGGGGCTTAAAGACACAGGAGTTCTAGCAGTGCGCTTCTGTGTCACATCAGCATTGTGTCAGTGTGATATACACTGAGCTACAGAGTCAGTTGTTATAATGCGCTATATCATTTCAGTGTGATGACGACCACAGGTGTTATGTCAGCTTGACTTCAGAGTTGACAAAAGCAGCCTTTATGGCAGCTCCCGTTCACTGGAATAAGCCTTTATGAACATTTATGTAGGTTTATTTCAGTTGTCATGACATCATGCAGTCTAATAAACACTGCCCTACAGTGAAGTGTTACCACTAATTTTATACTGTATATCATACAGTCTGCATAAGTAGGCACAACAAAAATACCAACAAAACTGATAACCTTAATTAAAGTGTTTTGAACTATTTTACGTAATTCAACCCTTTAATAATAAATTACAACTCAAAACTATAATAGTACTAATAAGTAATAGTAATAATAATACACCATGAATAAGCATCTAACTGCTCACTCATAACATTTCAGCTTATTGAACTTCTGCACTTTACTCTGCTGATGAGAGCACAACATAAACATTCGCTTCAAATCAACCAGAATCATTGACAGAAATGCTGGACAGCTCCGCCTACTTTACTAAATCAAAACTCTAATAAATCAATAAGTAACCTATTGGTGGTGGTTTGCCATTTGTTTTAGTTTCACACACATTGCTCTAAATTTTCTCCGATTGGTCATTCTGCATGTCACTCAAACGGCCCATTCCTGTCAAAGCGGGTGGCTCCCTAAACCTCCTCGGTTTAGCTTGTTAGTCTGTAGTTCAGCGCAGTTTAACACAGCTCCAAGTGGAATTGGCTTCAGCTTGTGTAGCATTTCCATATTAGTTAAGTGCTTTGGGTTCTGGGTTTATCAGAAAAGCTGAGTGGAGTCGCCTCCTGCCTGTTCACTGCTGCTGTTTGTTGGTTTTCTGTCGCTGTATTTCATTACTAAGACCTCCTCGACTATTCGATTGCCTTCCCACAGCACCAACAAGTGGACTTATTACTTGACTTATTAGTCTATACAACCCGAAATGACATCATACAGCTAAAAACAGAAGGAGCAGCTTAAAATCAGTATTCTGTCCAAACCTTAGACCGAGTTTATAGATAACAGTGAGTCATACAGTGTTAGAAAACACATAATCAACATTACTGAACATCACACGCTTTGAGGCAAATGATGATTTAGACATGGTGATGAGTTAGCACCATGCTAATAGGTGGGTGCATGTTTCTGTTACTTATTAGCTACATTAGCCTCATAGCTCCAGTGTTAAAACTAAAGAAGAAACTTCAGACACTGAACACGTTTTGACTGATAAACTATATTTGGAAAACTGTGTGTTTGATGCTGAATGAGCTGTTATCAAATTTAACATGGAGATGGTCTTTTATCAGGTACTCCATCAGGGGGCTCAACTGTCCATTGGAAATAGACGAGAATACAGGTCAGCTTGCCCTGAAGAAAGAACTGGACCGAGAAACAGAGGCCACACACCTGTGTGATGTCACAGCACAGGAAATATCTCCAAGCGGTGAGGGTAAAATGTTCTCCCCAACACTTATTTACCCTCCTGATAAATAATGGAGCCACATCTAATCTCGAAACATTTACTGAAGGGTTATGGTCTAATTCATTCTGGAGAGAGCAGGATGTTTGTTTATTTTGTGATTTTTTCATGTTACTCGCTCAATAAAAAAATGTACAGTTCATGTCTAAAAGTCTGACAAGTTTAAACTGAGACATCAATTTAATTTTAAAATATATTTTGAAACGTTTTATAATTTAAAAAAAAATCATAATAAATGTATTTTTCGTGTTGCTTTTTGATTAATATTTATTAATGCAAAGGCTAAAATTTATTTGACAGACATTATGCAAGTTTGATTATTTTTAAGATTTACCTGAGGGGCTTCTTACCCCAGGTAAAGGGGGCATACTGTCCTTGTTTTAAAGTGTCCAAAAACACATTTAATCGATTCATTTTGTAGCCATACACAAACTACATTAGATCGTTATTCATTCAACCTAATGAGAAACTGTAGAACAGACTCAGTTTATATCACAATACCTACATTTAGAGTCAGTTTTTATATAAAAAAGACACAGCAGATTAAAGGGCTGATCCACTACTTTGATGTTTTTGTATTATAAACTGTAGAACCACAAACATCTGTATCTGCAGTAAATATCGGCTCTTTGTATCTACAGGACTAAAAGGGTATACGATTGTCAAGATAAAGGTTCTGGACATCAACGACAATCAGCCGGAACTGACCAATACGAGCACCATTTACATCTGTGATAACGATAAAAATGGAACGGTGAGAAATTCACAAAAATATTTCATCATTATATCATTATTATACAAAAATTGACATGATTTTTCCCTTTTTTTACCACCAAGATTAATCAACACACATTTGGTGTCTGAAGTTCCTGCTTCTGTTATCTATAAAATCATCCCTTACCACTGATATATGTAAATTAACTCTGTTCTGATTGGCTGCCTGTATAGTCTCATTCAGTGTAATTCTTTTAAAGGGCACATGTTACATTTTTCTCCCTAAAATACATTTTACTTTTTACTCCTGAGGTCTATTTATAATATTTTTGTGTTTTTCTGTTGTAATTGTACATTTTTTCATGATTATTTTCTATCCTCTCGTTATATATGTGTTTGTGACATCACAAAAACAACGAATTGAAAAACAGACAGCTTAGTTTCCATATGTGGTCTGAATGGACTGGAGAGTGAACAGTATGTTTTAAAACTATAATGTCTTCGCTGATCGACTACATTTGTGGTAACGGGGTGATTTTATGCTGAGCTATGATTTAATAATTAATTTTAAATCTATTTTTTCTTTGCTTTGCAGATCATTGGAACGATCGGGGCCACCGACAAGGATGAAAACCCTGGACCGTTCCGGTTCATTCTGGCAAAAAGGAGCTCCAACTTCTCCCTCCATGACAACCTAAGTGAGCAACATTTTCAGCTAAAACACTGACAGACCTTTTTAAACTTGTATAAGCTACACAAATAAGACATTTGTCGCTGTCGTATCGCCACAATGGCAACTTTACAGGAGAAAGAAAAACGTTCTTAACTTTGAATGGAAGTTATATTGGAGCATTTCTTTTGGTCCATTTTAAAGGACAAATGTTGTTTTTGAATTATGTAAAAAAAATAAAAAATGAGAAGAATGGAATAACAAAAAGGGTTTTGTCCCCACAGCGATGATATCGTTAATGTTGGAGCTTAGTATAGAATAGGTGAGAGAATAAGATCATTTCAATACATACATTTCTGTAAAACAGCCAACATTATCAAGAAATAGGTTAAAAAATCATATAATATTCTCACAGCAAAATCGATAATGAGAAATATTAGTTATTTTTAGTTGTATTATGTTTTTGTGTAGTTATTAATGCAATTGTTAAGTACATTTAAATGTATAGCAAACTGCAGGTTTCTAAGAGAGGTGTAATTGGTGTACATTGGTACATTAGCCACAAAGCTACAGATGTGCTAAGCCTGATGAGCTGGAACGCTGCTGGTTCAGTCTCAGTCGCTCTAAAGTGACCCGACAGCGGCTCGTTTCTGGTGTATTCAGGCACAAACCAGAATGAAAACAAACCGGTTACTCGGGCTGAAAGATGCATGAGCTACACGCTACAGTTGACTACAGTTACATTTCACTGTTTTCTCTCTCAGCGTATCTGATTTCTAACACTGTATGACAGACTGATATCTGTAAACATGGTGCACCACATCGCTAAAACAGCAGCCTGAATTCAGTCTGTACTTCAGTCTGTATTAACAGATAACAGTAAATCATACAGCATCGAAAACCACATAATCAAGTCTATTAGAGACACTGAACAACTCCACATGCTTTGAGGTGAGGGTGATGATTTAGGTAAGCGGTTAGCATCATGCTAATTGGTTTACATAACCTTCCATTATTGGTTTGCTACATTAGCCTATCCTGGCTGATTGACTACATTTAGAGTAACAAACTATGTGACTGTATTTGGTTACAGACTGAATTTTTGAGCCATTTTACATGCATTTTTATTTAATCAGAAGTTCAGTAGTTCAGTAGTTCAGTTCAGTAATGTCAGCTGAAGAATTTTCAATTGCAAATGCACAATATTTTTATTACCTTCGGTTATTTTGGGGGACATTTTTGTTCCAGTATTTGTGTGGAAAACGTTAAATATGTTTTTTTTTGCCATTTACATTAAGTTATTTTCCTGGAACACATCACTGCTAAAAAAGGACCATTAAAAACTATTAGGATTAAAACCTAATGGTTTTGCTTCCATTGGTTTCCTATAGAACACCATAAGATCTCATTAGGAAACCATCAAACACATTTAGAATCAGACATTCGTCACCCGTTAAACCATTAGGATCCTTTACACTTTCTGTGTTTACACACAAAGATTTTCTCCAATCCGATTGAACAAATTATTAAACGATTATAGATTAAGACTGAGGTGTTTATTCTCACTTTACTCAACAATCTGATGAAAATCTCCATTTACATGCTCACTACAAATTATCAGATCCAAAATGACGCCCATGCATAGAGAACCACTTAGAGTAAACGTTACCATGACAACCAGCATCACGTGAGTCCAGAGTGAGATGAGCAGCAGTGAGCAGTGCTTGTATTTTCAATGACTTTAAAATGATGTCAGACTCAGGAAAACGTCCTTCACATGTCCTTATTAAAGAAGGCCGAGAGGAAGACGTCGTGTTCTGAGACACATAAGCTGGACGTCCGTCCCACCGCCGTCTTTTAAAGATCAGAGAGTAACCTTCGTCTCCTCTGCAGACCAGTTTCTGCTCCGCCATGTTGAACGGTATAAACTTTCACTATGACGCGACGAACATGATCAGAACGGAGTTAAACTTTCCGATAGGGAATGTAATCAGATACAGGCGTTTACATGGATATTATTCTTCTATTTAACAGATTATTTACAGGATTATCCACCTCGATCAGTCAAATAGAAACTGTATTCCAAATAGCCTCAATCAGACTAGCCTATTCCAACTGAGGTGTATATATGGATGTATTTGATTCCGATTGAGCTATTAGTTGGATTATCAACGGATTACTAGGCTGTATGTAAACATGGCTATTGTGACGTCAGCCCAATAAAAAAGCCAAAACACATTACAAAACAATCAGGAACCAACAGAAACACTTAATGATGTCTGTGGGGTTTTTTAGTAGGGTTTACCAGAATGTTTGGATTCAATCTGTGCATGGCATATTTCAACTGAAGCAACAAGAGAGTCAAAATGAGGACTACGTTTTCCCACCATTGTGTTGAATGTGATATTCTTAGGCGCACTCGGCATTGAGCTGTCATGAACACTCCATCAACGCTGCACAGCAATGTTCTCTATGATTATCTGGAGCAATTCACATTGTTATTATAAGTTTAGACCCATTTGTAGCAATAATCTGTATTTTATACACAATAAAAAGTCTAAATCTATAATACACTGACTGGCAGATCCACTGACCATATAGTTTCACTTTGTAGTTCTACAGTTACAGACTGTAGTCCATCTGTTTCTCTGCATACTTTGTTACCCTGTTCTTCAGTGGTCAGGACCCCCATGGACCCCCACAGAGCAGGAGTTATTTGGGTGGTGGATCATTCTCAGCACTGCAGTAACACTGATGTGGTGGTGGTGTGTTAGTGTGTGTTGTGCTGGTCTGAGTGGATCAGACACAGCAGTGCTGCTGGAGTTTTTAAACACCTCAGTGTCACTGCTGGACTGAGAATAGTCCACCAACCAAAAATATCCAGCCAACAGTGTCCTGTGGGCAGCGTCCTGTGACCACTGATGAAGGACTGGAGGATGACCAACACAAACTGTGCAGCAGCAGATGAGCTATCGTCTCTGACTGTACATCTACAAGGTGGACTGACAAGGTAGGAGTGTCTAATAGAGTGGACAGTGAGTGGACACAGTGTTTAAAAACTCCAGCAGCACTGCTGTGTCTGATCCACTCAGACCAGCACAACACACACAAACACACCACCACCACGTCAGTGTTACTGCAATGCTGAGAATGACCCACCACCCAAATAGTACCTGCTCTGTGGGGGTCCATGGGGGTCCTGATCATTGAAGAACAGGGTAAAAGGGGGCTAACAAAGTATCAGAGAAACAGATGGACTACAGTCTGTAACTGTAGAACTACAAACAGAACTGGTTTAATGTTGTTGAAAACACTGATTCCAAACAGTAACATCTATTTGTTGTGTTTGGGAATGAATCTCTGTTTTGTGTTTGCTGTTCTTTATTTCATTTTGACCACATTTAAATTTTTTGTTATTGGTGTGAACTGTTTGTCAGGCAGCAGAGGCGGGACATTAGCCAGTTGGCTAACAGTGACATATTTACCTAAATAAATAAATACAGCTGATTGTGTTTCTCTGAAATGTTTGCAGACAACACTGCCACCATCGTGTTGACCCATCGAGACCTTAGCATGGACACCATAAAAGAAAACTTTCTGGAGATTGAAATCTCAGACGGACATCAGAAGAGCATCAACAAGTTAGACATCCGAGTGTGCACGTGTCGGAAGGACCGTCAGATTGAGTACTGTAAGGCCTACACCCAAACCGGGGTCAGCATCAGCGCCCTCATCGCCATCCTGCTCTGCATCGTCACCATCCTGGGTAAGATCAGCTACACGCTGCAGACACACTGCACCGGCAAAGACAGCGTGTTTCAGCTTTAACATTCACAACCAGCTGCATTAAAATTCTGCGCTTGTTACACTTGATAAGTTAACGGCACAAAAACAGATGTTTTTTGTTCTACTAAGTTAATATTAGAAGTCCAGCTATTCACTTTTTACGTTAATAAACACCAAATACCAAAACCCCACCTTACACTTTTTCAAGTGTAAATAAGTTAACAAATCCTGTACAGAGAACAACATGGAATTTGAACAGGGGCGCACAAACTTCTGCATACACCTGTGTGGATGTAGCACAGTTTGTGGTTCTCCATGTGTGCAGCCTGTAAGATGCACGTTTCAGCTTGTGTGCCTTTTTGTACAGAACATGAGGAGAAAATGAGTCTGACTTCTGTCTGAAACTAACGCAAAAGGCTCAGTACAGTGGGCCCAGAGTGTCCACTTTATTGGAAACACCTACTTTGTGCTTCCACTAACTTGCCACTTTATTGGAAACACCCACCTTGTGCTTCCACTAACTTGCCACTTTATTGGAAACACCTACCTTGTACTTCCACTCACTGGCCACTTTATTAGAAACACCTACCTTGTACTTCCACTCACTGGCCACTTTATTAGAAACACCCACCGTGTGCTTCCACTCACTGGCCACTTTATTAGAAACACCAACCTTGTACTTCCACTCACTGGCCACTGTATTAGAAACACCTACCGTGTGCTTTCACTCACTGGCCACTTTATTAGAAACACCCACCGTGTGCTTCCACTCACTGGCCACTTTATTAGAAACACCAACCTTGTACTTCCACTCACTGGCCACTGTATTAGAAACACCTACCGTGTGCTTTCACTCACTGGCCACTTTATTAGAAACACCTACCGTGTGCTTTCCACTCACTGGCCACTTTATTAGAAACACCCACAGTGTGCTTCCACTCACTGGCCACTTTATTAGAAACACCCACCGTGTGCTTTCACTCACTGGCCACTTTATTAGAAACACCCACCGTGTGCTTCCACTCACTGGCCACTTCACAAGTGTACATACTACAATTTTGCCTCTAAATTGGACTGCATGGGAGGCTGGTTTGAGAAACACTGCTTTAGGGAACCAAAAGTGGTTCTTCTATAACATTGTTCACTGTTAGGTTCCATTTAGTACCTTTATCTTTAGGTAAGTCACATTAATGCTACATGTAAAGGGTTCGCATCCACAGAAAGACCTCAGTCCTTTCCAAGAAGTAGCATAATTTGTTTAAACAGTCTTCATTGGCTTTCACTGTATTGTTCCATAAATGATGGGAAAGTGTGAAACGTGCTGAGCACAGCGTTCCTCACTTGTCTCTTCCCTGATAAAGTTTCGTCAGCAGCTTCATATGAGAACCCGAAGCTGAGTTGTGATTGATTCACACTGGATTTGTGGCACTGCAGGCTGTAAACACAGATGAAGAAAGTAAATTGAGATGCTAACAAGATCCTTTTCTCTTCACTTGTCATCAAACAGAGACAGGAGTGTTGATTAGCTGTTCTGAATTCATTATCATGTGGTTCCCCGGGTGATGTATGTTTAACGTTCTCTGGCTGCTGGTCTATTTTCATTCTGACATGTTTTGCCATATGTTACTTTCCGCACAGAACCGCGAAGCGAGTTAGCAACATTCTACACAAACACATCAGGGACAAAATCCCTAGCCAGCCCTCTTTACACTCTTAAAAAAGATGGTTCTTTAAGGGATCTGTAGTAGAAAAAATGGTTCTATATACAAGCATAAACACTGACAGAATCATTTGCATGGTGAAATGGTTCCTAAATGTAGGTATTGTGATATAAACTGAGTCTGTTCTACAGTTTCTCATTACTTGAATGAATAACTGACTCTAAATGTAGGTATTGTGATATAAACCGAGTCTGTTCAACAGTTTCTAATTAGGCTGAATGAATAACAGACTCTAAATGTAGGTATTGTGATATAAACTGAGTCTGTTCTACAGTTTCTCATTAGGCTGAATGAATAACTGACTCTAAATGTAGGTATTGTGATATAAACTGAGTCTGTTCTACAGTTTCTCATTAGGCTGAATGAATAACCGACTCTAAATGTAGGTATTGTGATATAAACTGAGTCTGTTCTACAGTTTCTCATTAGGCTGAATGAATAACTGACTCTAAATGTAGGTATTGTGATATAAACTGAGTCTGTTCTACAGTTTCTCATTAGGCTGAATGAATAACTGACTCTAAATGTAGGTATTGTGATATAAACTGAGTCTGTTCTACAGTTTCTCATTAGGTTGAATGAATAACCGGCTCTAAATGTAGGTATTGTGATATAAACTGAGTCTGTTCTACAGTTTCTCATTAGGTTGAATGAATAACCGACTCTAAATGTAGGTATTGTGATATAAACTGAGTCTGTTCTACAGTTTCTCATTAGGCTGAATGAATAACCGACTCTAAATGTAGGTATTGTGATATAAACTGAGTCTGTTCTACAGTTTCTCATTAGACTGAATGAATAACAGACTCTAAATGTAGGTATTGTGATATAAACTGAGTCTGTTCTACAGTTTCTCATTAGGTTGAATGAATAACCGGCTCTAAATGTAGGTATTGTGATATAAACTGAGTCTGTTCTACAGTTTCTATTTAGGTTTAATGGGATTTTTACCAGTGTTCTGTAAAGCTTGTCTAACCTCTCAGTGGTAGCTCATGGTTCTATATAGAATCATTGTCTTTACTAAAGGACCATCTTTTTAAGAGTGTAGGTCAGTCAGCCGGCGTGTTTATTGACTTAGCATGACTCATTTTCCTTCGGCTAACTCTTCCTTCTCGCTGTTGCAGTGATCGTGATCCTGTTTGTGTTGAGGAAACGTTATCAGAAGGAGAACCTGGTCACTCTGGGGAAACCGGCCGGGGAGATTCACGAGCAGCTGGTGACCTACGACGAGGAGGGCGGCGGAGAGATGGACACCAACGGCTACGATGTTAGCATCCTGTCTTCGGCCTGCCACGGCAGCAGCCTGCGGCCGACCCCGGCACCGGCCGTGTACGCCGTGGCTAAGAAGCCTCCGGCCTGCAAAGGGGACATGGCCATGATGATCGAAGTGAAGAAGGACGAAGCAGATCACGACCGCGACGGGATTCCCTACGACACTTTGCACATCTACGGCTACGAAGGCACAGAGTCCCTGGCCGGATCTCTGAGCTCTCTGGATTCGTCATCAGTTGCGTCCAACCTGGATTACGACTTCCTGAGTGACTGGGGGCCACGTTTTAGGACCCTCGCTCAACTTTACGGAGTGGACGGGTCCGATTCGGACAGCTCGTACTGATCTGGGAACAGCAGAAACACCGTCTTAAGGCTAAACGTCATCAGTTCCTTCAGGATAAACCACAGTAGGAAGGCTCGGATGGCGGAATTGGGTTCTTCTGCTTGTTTTTTCCTTTGCCGGCATCCGTTTGCCAGAGTTTGTCCTGCTCGTTTATGATTAGAGCAGCAGCACCACTGCAGTATAGAGTTTATATTGAGTGTTAAATGAAGGTGCTGTATGGATAGGGGTTCAAAACAGCTCAAAAAAGTCCATTTTCGTAGCACTGTCTCTGAAATTATACCTTTTATTTGATCATATCTGTGTTTAAAAAGGTTAAAAAGCCACACCAACAATTTTCACATAGGAAAATATAAATATTAACCCATTAATGTCCATATCTGAAATGTTAAATATCCTCAGGTCCATTTGTTTGAGCTTGCCTGAGCACAGATCTCAAGAAATTCTTCAAATCAATCAAGCTAAATGGCTTAAAAGTCAACTTTTTTTATTTAACATTAAATTTAGTCTTTTGGTCACTGATTTTTAACAAAACAATACAAATTTGATTGTGAACAGAAGTATGAACATTATATGTGATCAGAAAAAATAAAATTATTACTGTTAGATGTTCACTCAAGTATAACTATATATATACCAATCAGAGCAAAGATTTTTCATATTATCGTAGTTGTTGGACATATAAAAGTGGGTAATGTAAATAAAATAAGTAATTAATTTAAATGTTACTTATAATATAACAATATAAATTTCAATATTAGTTAAACAACATTGAAACCAATCAACATATAATGAGGTGAAATTTATCATTTCTGTCCATTATTTTTTATTGTGTGGTCCAAAAGTGTGAGAGCACTAAAACACAATCTTTGAAATTTTAAACTGAATTTCAGAATTTCGTAGTATTTGGTGGTGTGTCCCTCATGCGTTAACTCCAAAAGTGTGTGTAAAATCCACCTGAGAGGCGTCTGAAATCGAGCTTCACTGGAAGAGATCAGACTAAAAAACAAATCTGACCTTTTTGTTCAAACACCTTAATGTATGATGATGTCACAAATCTGTTTAAAGGGCCCATATCATGGAAAACTGAATTACAACAAACGCTCAAGACGCACCGTTCACTCCTCAGTCCATACAATCCATACAGTCCATGTATGGAAACTAAACTGCAAAAACAACATTCACTGTTTCTGTGATGTCACAAGAACCAGCTCATTTACATATATATCCACCTATTCAGCCTACAGCACTTTAGCCCCGCCTACTCACACTGAAGTTCTAGGGAGTGTTTCAGCTCTGAGCGCTTGTTAAATGAGACACAATGCAAGGCAGCCAATCAGAACAGAGCTCATTTACATGTATCAGTCTTAAAGGCACAGTAACAAAATCAACCTGTTTAATTCTAAAAAATAAATCGTCGCTGTCCAGTGAAAAACATGTATCTCCATTTTTTTGTGATTTTTACTTTTCTGCATCATTCGAGCTCCACAGCTGTCCTTTACACTGTGTGAAAATTTCATGATGATTGGACCAATAAAAATGCTCCAAAAATTGCTTAGAATAACATCTCTTTCCATTAACTTACATTGAAAGTAAAGAATGTTTTTGTCCTCTCCTGTAAAGTCACTATTTTGGAGATAGGAGTTTATCTTTGGACAGCGACGAAATAGAAGTTGTAAAATGGATTGTGACCATTTTTGGTACAAAAAACCGCACAAACTTTATAATAAAGTGGAGAAAATAATATGCAAGAGAAATGTAAGATATGGGCCCTTTAAATTTGAATAGAGACCTGGAGCAGAATCTGCAATATCACATCTACATTTTACGTGTTTTTGTTTTTAAAACTTGTGTAATTCTGAAACTCTTAGACTCTGTAGAAGCTGTATTCCCATGATATTTTTGTGCCGTTTGCCCGATTATAACAGCGACACAGTTTAGATTACAGATAATATTACACAAATCTGGTGACATATATCATATCATGCGCCTATAGTGTGAGATTTCAGTTCTTTCGTAGACGCACTGCACAGACCTCCTAATCTGTAAACAGAGCTGACCCCTGACCTCCGCCATATGTGCACGCGTGACGTATAGATTGAACAGACGAGCTGAAATAAGATAAAAGGAGGCCGTGCAGATGATTTGTGGGGTTTTTGCCCCTCAGAGGTGCTTAATTGAGCCATATTTTATTAAAGAACTTTAAATGAAGGAGATTCTGTTTTAACACTGTGTGTAAATTAACTCACACATATAGAACTGCGGTAAAGAAAACACACATATTAACAACATTAAGATCACAAGGTTTTGTTATGTTTTTGCATTCTGCCTGTCAAAAGTTTGGGGACACTTAGTGCTTCAGCATATTTTTAAATACAAATGAGCATCCATAACAATATGAAACACATATAAGACTACATAAAAGCATAAAATTATAATAAAGCCATGGGCTTATTCCTACTGTGACAGGCAAATAAAGATAGCTCAAAATGAAGCGTCAATATCACAAATTATTTAAGCTTTTCTTTAAAGCACACTTAAAACTGCTCTCCGTTTCTAAGTGTTTAAGATGAACTGGAAGTTTATTCCATATAGAAATGCAAAAAAAGTGTTTTTACCAGATAAACTATTAATTCTAAAAGGAATACAATTCACTGCATTAACTCTAGTTGTGCAGTCATGAGCATCTACTACTAAGGAAGTAGTTTAAAACAGATTTTTTTTTTTTTAGTGGGTGAGTGTCAGCTTGATTTCACTCTTTTCTCCACTGGAAAAAAGTTTCTACAGTGATCTAGTTTCAGGGAGGCTTTTTCAGCTTGTTTTGATCAGTCTTAATGGGAAACTCCACCAATATTTAAAAAATTCTGCATAATTAAATGGTCGAGATGCGTTCAGAGTGGTTTGCTCTGTTCTAGAGAAACTAAGTCAGAATTGTTCACAGTGGTTACTGAATTATTCTGAAATTTTGAAAAATTGGTGGAATTCTCCTTCAAGTTTATTTTAATCGTATGCCAGAAAATTGCTGCATGAACAAAATTCCCACAAAGTAGTGCCTCGTATATTGTTTCTAAAGTTGACACATGTGGACATGTAGCTAGAAATTCAGTCTTTGGCCCAATTTTAACTGAAATTTTCAAGAAGCTGGTTAGATTTTGTCATTTTTCTTCAACAAATGCTACAAAACTCAAAGAATTGTTTCCAAAAGGGAATAAAGCCAAAGGCCACGCCCATTTTCTCCCCCTGTTTTGATGTCAGGTGTTTAAACCACCTTCAGACCAAAAGAATTTCAAGAAAACTTTCAAATCGTTAATAAAACCTGCTCTTCATCCCAAAGAGGACACTGCGATGAACAGCTGAGTGTTAAAAGATAAACACACAGAAAGCTTCATCACTGAGGAAGAGTAAATTATATTTTCTCTATTTCTTTATTGAAAAGAGACTCAAACATTAGTTTTACGAGACAAAGTGTCCTCAGACATTTGACGGCCAGTCTGTTTGTAATCCTAAAAGGTCGAAATTTGTCGTAACACTGGCTGTAATGTCTGAAAAGTCATGTCGGGTTATTCACTGCGGGTCTCTGAATCTGGGATGTCGGTTTCTGTGGCCAGAGCTGGCTCGTCTTGGCAGGAAATGACCTCAGCGCTGTGGGAGCAGCAGAGGAAGCCGTGGCAACAGGGCTCTGACAGAATTAAAGCTTACAGCAAGTCTGTTTGACAGGAATCATCAACACACCAATTGTTGTGAATAAAGCTCAAATCTCTGAGGTCCACCTTAATAAGGCAATAGCAGAAGTCTCAGGAAGCGTGCAGTAGCTCGGACGCTCGTAAAGGGGTGAGAATTAAGTCTGAATAACTTTAACCTTTCAACTAATAGAGATTCATCACAGAACAAGCCGCACAGCAAAATGCTAGCAGCATTTCGTCGCTGTCCAAAGAGAAACACGTATATTTTTAAATAAAATATATATATATTTGCTCAAATCCGATCTCTCTGACACGATGGTTCACACAGTGATTCAAATCTGTCATTAATGTGATGAACCAGCGTCCTGAAATGACCCTCATGAGCTCATCCTACTCAGTAACGTCACGTGAATGAATCACGTTCATCATCAGCACAAACTAACGAGCAGAACGAGCTTCGCTGAGAAGATAATTAACTCTGATCAGCTCTCAGCTTCATTATTAGAGCGAGACGAAGGAGAAAAAGGTGAGGTGAGCTGCTTTTCCACCATTTACAGGCTTTAACTTCTGTTCGGCGCTGTTGCCATGGTAACGTTGAATTATGGCGCACGCGTTTTTGTCCATTTGTCCATCATTTTGGAGAAACTTGTTTTTGTTTGGACAGCGACGATTTAACATGCTACACAGCAAACCGCTAAATAAACCTACTGTACATCGTGACATGGACTTTAAAGAACAACAGCGCTTTCTCTGGTTCCGGGTTACACAAGAACAGTTCCGTTCAAAATGCTAATATTGCTAACAGTGAATGAAAGTGAACATCCACAAATTAGCATTACGTGAAAGAGCAACTGGCTAATTGCTGGCTGCTCCTTTCATTGTTAGCCACGTTAGCATGTTTGGTCAAGCTACTCCATTAACAGGAATTAGCTGGCTAATGTGCTAATCTACTGATAGCATAGTAGAAATAAAAGCTAGCTAGGTAGACCATTAGCTAGAGGAGCATAACTGCCGCCTGAACACATTAGCAAGTTAGCAAATGTTATCCACTGAAAAAGTCCAAGCTTTGGAGCTAAAACAATAATCTGGCACTACCTTCCTGAAACAATTCAGTGAAGGTAGATGTTTTGGAAATGTTGGAGCTGTTTTTGGTGCTTGAAATCAGTTTTAATCTGATAGCAGCTGTAAATTCATGCTAACGTCAGCAGGCTTAAATCCAAGGCTAACCCTGTTCATTTTCTACAAAAGATTCCAGCTACAGAAAGATTTGTTATTTCAAATTAAGAAAGTAAGTAATTTGTCTGCCTTTAATTGAGTGTTCAAGATGTAAACAGAGTCATTCAGAGTGGTTTGGTGTGAAATGGTTCAGATGTCTTTACAGTGGTGGTGATAGGAACCAGGGGTCGCCATGACTACAACACTAATATAGACATTTTATTTACTATCCAGAACCACCAGTGAACCTACACGAGTCTTCTGAGTTTATATGGAATGTTGATGATGGAAAATAGTGGAAAATCTGAAATAATAAGTTTTCTTTGGGGACTATTTTGCCTCACAGCGCCCTGCATGTTATGTATCCCTCCACCATGAATGGAGTTTAAGTTCTCAAAACTATCATAAAACAGTGTCTCAGTCATCAGGCAGTGAATTCATAACCATTTCATGTAGGAACTTTCTGTGAGGGAGCTTTTAGAGGTGGACGTCTGGTTCCTATCACCACCACTGTGAACAGTTCTGACTCAGTAAGTTTCTCTAGAACGGAGCGTTTCACACCAAACCACTCTGAACGACTCTGTTTACATCTTAACCAATAAATTATGTGGAAAACTGTGGAGATTTGGTGAAATCTGTATCTGAATCTGTAATTTTAAGTTAAAGGAACTCACTTTTTTAAGTCAAAACACATTTTTTTACAGTGCACATGATAAAATATTGTGTTTCTGGTGCATTTCTCTGTCGTTTCGTTGCTGTTGCTCTTTAAAACTTGTCTTTCTAGTGAGAAGTCCAGCAGGTTTCTGGGCCCGATTGTTAATCCTGTGAGACTAAACGACGAAGAGCCGCTTCCTTTATTTGTTATCCTTCGTCACTCTCTAAATATTTACCTTTGCTCACAAATCCTCACCTACTTCTTCATCGGACAAACAATAAGTGGAAGCCATCTTCCCCCTTTCCTGTCGCTGATTCCATTCACCGCTGAGCTCCCGTATGCTAGCATACAGAATACGGCCACTTCCTGTCCCTGTGTGCACAAGAAACTCACTTCCTGTTCTCTTATCTGTTAAGTGAAGTCACACATTGGAGCCGCTTCCTGTTTTCATTCCACAGAGGGAAAAACCCAGGAAAACTTTAAAGAATAACATAAACGGTGCCATCTTAGCCACCAGCCGTTTATACGTTTTCACGTTTCAGTTTGTTTTCTAAGTGAGACGCTGTCGCTCTTTACTTATTCCACTGTTTTTGTCTGTAGTCTATCCACTGTAATCAACTTTTAGTGAAACAATTGCTTTAAGAACAATATTATATTCACAATTCTTCTTAATCTAATGTTTTGATATATACCGATGCCGCACAGTGTAGGAGAAATCACTTGAACACTTAACACTATTATTTCTTTATTTTACCTACTTCTTACTTTCTCTAAAAGGCAATAATGTACTTAAACGTCTCTCTATGGGAAAAAAAAATGTACGGAAAACTGTACAGAAACACTGGAAGAGCTTACGTTGAGAGAGAACTGTACATA